ATACAAAGGTCGTCATTAGAATGCCGCAGGTTTCACAGCAAAAATCTCGCTACACGAAATACAGAAGTAACATGATATGCTGCAATATATCTATTGCTAATTACACAAACGTGAATATCAAAACATGAGCGACACAAGCACTGCAGTACATATTCGCACACTACAGATATTCAACTTTCCACTGTACTGTATCCTTTAGATCTTTACCAAAATTAATGCGGTTTTAAAAGCTGCACGTTATTACTCGTAATGCAGATTGACTGGTCGAAGTTATGAAAACCATGAAAGCTACAAAAACTTACATTTGAGTCTGTAGCGTGTACTAGATAAATACAGTACATACTAAATACTCAATGGAGATGCGTTTCTTGATGAACTCTGCCGCATTGGCGCCATTAAAAAATGATTTTAGCTTTAATGTTTGGTTTTCTGTTAGTCCGGGTCGTTTGACTCTGCTTCGACCGCAGACGCTTCCGGGACGGGCACCAGCAAAGCAAGTGTTAGCATGAGCAAACACTTTGGAGACACCTTTGTAGCAACATCCTTTTTGACGACGTCGATGTTCTTGGGCTTTTCCTTCTTCCACCTACACAAAGTCATTGTCACGTATCGTGTATCACTTTTCATCACATTACAATTTGCATCGTCTGTTAAGCTTAGCTTTGAACATTCCACCTCGTTGCCGCACTCACAGTTCATAACACAGAGGAAAAAAAGGCCAGATACCAGAATACTTGTCATGTAAATCATCCTCCGTCAATGAATTTAGCCAGGTCAACATGGCTCTGATCTTGCTATCTGGAAGTGTTGGGCACAACTCTTCCAGCGTAGATTGGAAGGCTGTTGATAACGTGTTTGTTGTTGATTCCGTACAGCTAAACTTAAAATAAGGAACGGCAACAAAGAACGGCTCGTAACAACAGGCCAGACGACGACGGCGCGGGATGTTGCGGATTCGATTATCATAATCACTCGTATACGATGTCGCAGCGAAACAGATGGAAAGAGTGCTGTCAAAGCGGCAGTTCTTCAGTAATAGGTGGCGCAGCACGTTGGCATAAATAGGCACCGGCTGATACGTTCTTGGAACGAGCGAAGTGATCTTCCGTATGCAGCATGGGGCACTGCTTAGTGAATACTACAAACTCGTGGAACGTCAGTACGGAATTGTCAGCGATGATTAGCCAGTCGAGTTTCACGCCCAAAAAATGCAGAATAAGCGCCATATCGTGCAAACATCTCTCCCAATTACCAATAAGGTAAACGATTTTGATGTGTACTGTTACCGTGCTGTACAGTACGTAGTGTATTACAGCGCGATGTCCCATAAATGAAGTACGCTGTTGCAGGGAGAACTGTTTCAGAGCATCGAGGACATCCATGGAATGGAGTGGTAAGATCAGGCACTGCTGGATTAATTCGGAACATAATAAGTGACGGAACCATTTACACGTCCTGAAAACACATTGATCTGGATAGTTTATGACGCTTAATGTAATACGGCTATAAAAGAGGGAAAAAAGGAAATTATTATGCCTTACAGCAACATAATGCTCGCACAAAAAAAAAGATTTCTGATTCTTGTTCAGCTTCCCGGGATCCAAACAACGTTTTCTTTCTGCCCAGGCTTTATGGGATATTAAAAAAGCTAGTGTTTACTCTCGTCTCAATTCTTTGCAAATGGGACAAACAGATTCATTGTATGCAAGGAAATCAGTCGAATACGTTACCTGCGAATCTGATGTTGATCAAAAGCATCCATATAGGAAAGCACAGCCAGATGTAACTCCACATATAGGTCACTAAGACGTAGTTCACTGGGGTCGTCCAGGTCTACAAAATACGCAGATTAGTGCAAAGCACTGGAAAATGTTTAAGACACTTACCGTACAAGTGTAGCATTATACTCTGCAGGTGCCAATTTCTCAACAATTACTTATCGTTTAACACCGCCGTTAAAATAATTATAATTTAATTCTACTACTTAGAAACTGTACACGAACGCAGTTTCTGTTGGCTATAACGGGGTTCAATCATGTTAAAATATCAGATAAGCTGCGCTCGTTGAGTCGTTATAAATATACCGATAGGGTAATTAAGTAAGACTATTTAGGTTATTTTGTTAACAAAATGGTATAATTCCCATCCGAAGGACCCCTATTCTTTTGCCATATTATTATGATATTATCTAATTCTGCGGAAGAGGCAAATATTATGAGGAGGCATCATCCGAACCAGAAACAGTTTTACTGTATGTTTTTCAATTCACTTTTGAAACGATCCTCCACAATTTAATTTCGAGTTCCGGAACGGGTAGCAAAGCAAAATCTTTGACGGCAGCATCTTTCTCGGCTTTTGTTACATTGTACTGCAGTTTCAACGTTGACTTACCTTCCATGCCCACAATCACGCTCACAAGTTTGTCCAAACTTCTTCCTACAGTCTTCGTGGTCCTCGTGGCCAATAATAGCGATGCAAACCGCTTAATGGCGTACACCACGTTCTTAAAAGTAACCCTATCGTTGGGGAATTTGCCACGACCTTTCGCGATTAACAGGGCAATACACCCGTCCACTACCCCGAGAAACATTATCTGTTTGTTTGTTCCACATCTCCACATAAACTGACTATGAAAGTGTGGCATGTCCTTTATGTGATGCAGTATATCAGCTATATTAGGAATATCCCTTGTGAAATCACAAAAAGGGATTAGCACGCGGCGAAAGGACTCCTTGGTCACGGGCAGACCCAACGGTCCTGCCTGGCGAACCCGCTTTAGGGCGGCATCATTGCCATCCAGTACGCGGTAAGTCTTGATCGTGTCATCGGGCAGCATAACCTCGACGATCAAGAACGTAAAGGTCGGATAGTAAAGGAACTGAGCGGAATATGCGGGCTGCCATGATTCCGGATGATTGTCATCCAAACTGACCAGAATATCCAGTCCGTTTTTGATTTTTTGTTTCTCTTGTATGCAGTATCCTGGATGTTGACCTGACAAACCCACCCTGCGCAGCTTCTTCATGGGTATAAGCCGCAGCTGCTGCTGTTCGCAGCCGATTCGCACCCAACATTGATCGTTCTCCACTCCGCAGACGTATCCACGATAAACTAAATCATCGTCATCCACGATGTCGACAATAAACCGGTTGTAAATTCCCGTTAACAGTGGAGTTGTACATATTCGGGCAAACAAAAACTCCTCCATGATGATACTGGATCTACCGGGTAGCTAGGCCTGTGCTACTTTACAAATCGTTTACAAGGCTTTATTCAATATAGCGATGTAAGGAAAAAATGTGTTTTGCAATACTAAGGTCTTGTACTCATGATGTAAGCCAGCTGGTGGTTTACGTTGGCTGCACAGCGTTTTATGGCAAGCGCTGCTATTAAGGCTGTGCGGCATTGACGGTACATGTGGTATGCTGCACCAGGCTATAATACAGTTTTAGCCTGTTTACCTGCAGTTGTGAGTGCGCTTACCTGTTATCAGTACCTGCAATCTAAATAGCAGCGCTTTACGCCAAAACACTGTCAAGCCACAACGTAAACCACCATGCTGGCTTACATCAGAAGTACACAAGGGATTGGTTCAGTAGACATTTTTCCCCCTATATAGCGACGTAAAGTTAAATAAAGTATATTTTGGTGTCACTAAGGTCTGATAATACAGCTCGATCGATATTCTGTTAACGTGCTCGTGCACTGTTGGATTTTATCTTGGCATATGCATACAGAAATATTGGCTGCAGTTCCTTTCGCTGTATAATATACGGCGGCATTGAACAAGATCTACGGGATCACAATAACACTGATGGACACCGAGAAAATAAGGGACGCTACGGGCTACCAATCGATACTACTGTATGTGTCCTGCTCCTGGATACTATCGATTAGTCGCGGGATATGAGCATACGTGGTCAGTTATATTCTAAATTACCGTATATTACTGCAGTAGCGCTGGCCGTCCCAGTACTTGCGTAGTACAGTACAATTAAATACTACACAGACACACTACGTACTTCATTGCACAACTGTGGTGATGGTTATTTCTGAGTCTTCTGTACAAACCTACAAAATATGCTGTACAGTGTACTAAATGCTGTAATGTTTTGACTGTAATAAATATACTTTGCAGTCTTTGCTGTTCGGCATTTCGGGATTATTATTTGAATTTTTGAAAATGTTCCAATAAAGATTCTAGCCGTAATTCTTGCTCCGTGCTTGCTGATCCTTGCCTGAAGTGTTCGTATATGGGGGTTCATTGTCGCATGATACAACTTCCCTGTGCTTCATCAGCCATTGGACCGGAATAGGACTGCACGACTGCAGTTACAGCCATAACACGAAACTAGGGGCGTAGGCGTATGGTTAGTCGCTATCAAGAGTAATTTGTTGTCCCTAGCATTTTGCCGGACAAACGCGATGGTGATAACTTAAATTATTTTTTTCAATTGCTATACTTATATAAAAACGTCTAAAGTGTGTATGTGCGTGAAACATTGCAGCTTCCAATGCGCCAAATAGTCGCAGAGTAGTTGGCAACTTGACATGCACTGGTCGACTGCCGGTTGGGCCCCGTAAATACAAGAGCCAATGACTGGACTAACAACCTTCTTAATGAGGGGAATTTAACCACTAATATGGGTGGCATTATTCGGTCCCTTTAACGAAAGAAATCGCCCCATGTTGGCCAACTAGACAGCGCACAGACAAATATGCAGTACTGACAGACGCCCCTAAAAAAATGAAATAATTACCCTATTTTGTCTAACCGAATCACAGTAAGTTGTTGCAAGTTCGCTTGGTGTTACCAAAACTGGGAACGTTGGAACGTGTACGAAAAAATAGGCGATGAGGAATCGAGAAGTAGCAGACCACAGCTGCTTTCGGAAAGTTGTGCTTAACGTTTTAGTTTTCCTTCAACTTTACTGGGATTCGAATGCAGATTTCCAACCAGAGTACTGCTTGTCGCGAGTTTCGGTTCGTGAGTGAGTTTACCACGGTTCTTCGAAAACAAACAATTTCTCAACTGGAACCAGCAGGGCCAGTGTTAGCATGAGTAAACACTTCGGAGGTAACCTGATAGCAACATTCTTCTTGACGGCACCGAGATCATTGGGCTTTTCCTTCTTCCACCTACAAACGAGTTTTTTAACACGATGATCAGGCTTACTGTTAGCTTTACGCGCATCATAGCTGTCTTACACACAGTTCATAACACAACGGTAGAAATGGCCAGATAAACGCTTTCCCTTGTAGATCGACCTCCGTCAGGGAATCCAGCCAGGCTAGCATGGCTCTGATCTTATTATCTGGAAGGGTGGGGCATAACTGTTCTAGTGTTGCTTGAAAAGACTCGGCCAACGTGGACGTTGCTGCTTTAGTGAAGAGGTGCTTAAAATAAGGAAGTACAATACGGAATGGCTCCTGACAACAGGCCAGCTTTTCGTGCCGCGTCGCGAACCAAAGGCGATGCTTGTAGGGAGGATACAATATCGACGTGAAACATATTGAAAGCTTGCTATTAAAACAACAGTTCTTTAGAAGCAGGCGGGCAACACTGGTATACTCAGGCGCCGCATGAACTATTCCTCGAAACGTAACGAAATCATCATCCGTACGCAGCATGGGCCACTGGTCAGGAAAATCCAAAAACTCCTTGAACACCAATACGGAGTTGTCGGCGATGACCAGCCAGTTGATTTCCACACGCAGAAATTGCAGCAGTAGGACTAATGCGTGCAAGCATTTCTCCCAATTACCAATGAGGTAAATAACTTTAGTGTTTTGTGTAACCGTGTTGCACAGAACGTGAGTCATTGTAGCGCTGTGTTCGCTTCCGTCCAAACGCGGTTGCTGCGAATACAGTTTCAGAGTATCGAGAACATCCATAGAATGGCGTGGTAAGATCAGACACTGTTGGTTAGCTGCGGAGCACAATAAGTGTCGGAACCATTTACACGTCCTGAAAGTAAAAACAAGCGGCAAATCAATTTATAGAAAAATTAAAACCGGCAAAAGTTGCTTTCCTATAATCATACAGATACAGCAAAATCATAACCGCATGTTCTCAGTTAGCGTCAAGTTTTCGCAAAATGGGACGTTGTGAGGAATCACAGATCCTCGTTGCTGACTTACTGTACTTGATACTTAATAGATAAAGAACAACCACATAATAACAACTAAGATATAGACAAGAAATTAAAAATTAATATCTAACTTGTTATGCTTCATGCATCAGTAAATGACCCGAATTCCCCGACTAGCCAGCACATGGTTAAACAGGAAGTTAGTCAAATGTTGTACCTGCGAATCTGATGTTGATGAAAAGCATCCACATAAGAAAATACAGTCAGATGCAACTCCACATACAAGTCATCAAGTCGTAATTCACTTGGTGGTTCCAATCCTAGAAACCACATAGCTACACTGTACTGAAATGCTCATGACATTTACAGATGAAGGCTTAATTAAGAAGCTATGTACAAAGCGATATTCTGCTTACACTGTTAGCTGTGTACATTGTGCCGTGCAAGGGAATTTGCTATTGTAAATTAGTTTTGTAATTTTGAGTATTGTAAATCTGCATCATTTGTTGCGGACGGTGTAAATTTATTATGATTCACGCGCTTTATAAACAAAATTTTCTGATTTTTAAAACTGATAATTCTAGTGTGAAGTTTTTAACCTGCACACATTAAGTTATATGTCTTGAAATGTACGTTTACTTGGAAGTATTTTACTCTGATGCAGAAAGCACTGTTTTATGTCAACGCTTTAACGCAAAGTAAAGTATAAACTCACCATCCATGCCCACAATCACGCTCACAAGCTGGTCCACAATTCTGACCACAGTTTTAGCGGTTCCCGTAGTTTGTGATGTTATGAAACGTTTAATGGCAATAACCACGTAGTTGACAATTTGTTTTTCGGTAGTGCCGGAGATTCCGCTGCCGCAGGTCCCGGCAGCTGATAAAGCGATACAACCATCCACAACCCCGAGAAACATCATCTCCTTGGCCGCACCACATCTCCAGAGGAATAAACTGCGAAATGTGGCATGTCCTGTACGCGCTCCAGCACCTCCGCAATGTTGGGAATGTCGCGTGTGAATTTGGAGAGAGGAATCAGCAAGCGACGGAAGGACCGTGCGGTCACGGGCAGCCCTAGCGGACCCGCTCGACGAATGCGCTTCGTGGGAGCAGCGCATCTGAAATATTACCGTCCAGTACACGGTAACGTTTCAGCGTTTTATCTGCCAGTGCAACCTCGACATTCACGGCCGTAAAGGTCGGGCTCCAAATGCCGGTACCAACCATCCACGCGGGTTGCCATGATTCTGGGTGGCCTCGTCAGCGCTGACAAGGACATCGATGGCTTCCACGACGTGAGCGCGGCCGATGTTTCCTGATAATTTCACCCTACGCAGCATCTTTCTGGGTACCAGCCGCAGTTGCTGCTGCGCGCAGCCGATGCGCACCCAACATTTATCATTTTCTACCCGCAGACGTACGTAAGTGAACTAGAGAGTGATCGTACGTGAACTAGAGAGAAGTAGCAATGACCATGAGCACATAATTATTATATTACAGCATATTAGACTGCAATGCAATCACCAAATTATTAGGTTGGCCAGGAATGCTGAAGCTGTTCATTTCTGTAGCCTGTAGGTTAATTTGATAACGGCACAATATGTCCGTGGTTAAAGCCATTAGATAAGTTGAACTATTGAAGTACAGTTTTTCTGTAGATATGCGAGTTATTATTACGAAGTATATATGCGGCCACTATTATCGGATAGAGCCAATGTTTCTGTAATCAGCCACTGATTATACAGTCTGATCGATATTCTGTTGGTGTCGGTGCTACTGGATTGAAATTTTGGCATAGAGAAATAGGGACTGCAATTTCTGCCGCTGCATAGTATACAGCGGAATTAAGCACGATCCCCGATATCACAGAGTATTACCACTGGACACAGGAGAAATAAGGAAAGCTGCCGATCGATACTGCTCCAGCACGTGCACGTCCTGATGCGTCGGTGTCATCGATTTAACGGCGTAAGTCGTCATGTGTGGTCATTGGATTCTGGGTTAAACACAGCACATCATACAGCACATCGTACATCCTTCGCACTCACAGTTCATAGCACAGCGGCACAAACGGCCAGACATATGCTTTCCCTTTCAAGCCCTCCTCCTTCAGAGAATCCAGCCAGGTTAAGATGGCTCTAATCTTGTAATCCGGAAGTGCAGGACAAAATTTTTCTAATTCTGATTGGAAGGATTCGGCCAACGTGACTGCTGTTGATCTCTCAAAGCTGTACTGCCAGTAAGGAAGTACAACACAGAATGGCTCTTCACAGCATTCTAGGGGGTAATCCCAGCGCGGGGGGTAGAGAATCTGAGAGCGATGGCGAGGAGATTTAAAGGGTATTGACGCGAAACAAATTGAGAGATTGCTATGAAAGCAGCAGTTCTTCAACAGTATGTGACGGGTCACGCTGCTATAATCAGGCGCCGACTCAAAGGTTTCTCGGAAGGTGGCAGAAGCGCCAATTAAATGCAACCTGTTCCAAAGGCCAGGAAATTCTAGAAATTCGTGGAACATCAGCATGGAATTGTCAGCGATGGTCAACCAGTCGAGTTTGACGCGGAAAAAGTGCAGAAATATCACCAGATGATGCAGACATTTCTCAAAGTTACCAATGAGGTAAATGGTTTTGGTGTTGGCTGCACAGCACGTGCATTACAGTAGCGGGGTGTTCGCTGAAATCCGCAAACTGCTGCAGAGAAAACATTTTTAAAGTGTCCAGGACATCCATAGAGTTACGTGGTAGGAACAGACACTGTTGGATCGTTGCAGAACATAATAAGTGATGGAACCATTTGCTTGTCCTAAAATCAGTGGAATCTGGATTGAGTACCACAATATCACTAAGTACGATAAAACTGTAGCAGAACATCAGCGCCTGACTGCAGCCTCTCAAACACGCCACCTATCTGTCAAATTATAGGCAAACTGCTTGTTACCCTCGTTACGTGTTACCCTCCAGTGGCGCCACATATATCACGCAGTGTAATGCACTGTCACATCGTTGTGACCTTTTTGGTCCGCATTAGAGATATGGCAATTTTAGAGCCAACATGCCCTTGGTTTTTCTGATGGCAGTATATTGAGGTTGTTTTGTCCGCTTTCAGTATGGAGTTACGGAATAAACATATTGTTACTACTACCTCAAGACATGAAATATATAGTACTAGTAGTCCTCATACTGACTTGTTATCTTAGCTCACAGCAACAAGTTGCAACCAACATCCGATCCCAGACTAGCGAGACTGGATTAAAAAACTCCGTAAAAATGAATTCACCAAATCGTACCTGCGAATCTGATGTTGATCAAAGACATTCAAATAGGAAAATACAGCCAGATGTAACTCCGCAAACAAGTCGCTAAAGCGTAATTCACTTGGATTGTGTAGGGCTGCAAAGAAATCATACATCACTGCAATGTACTGAAAAATGTACTGAAACATG